CTGAACTTCAGGTTAATCCAACTCTAAATGAACATCCCCTCTAAAGGGTACAACCGACTAAACTGTATTTCAATTGATGTAACGAATACCACTAGCTTGGTAAAATCGCATGAGAATTGTACACACAGGGACGTCAGTATAAACGTTCCAGTTTTCCTACTGCCGTCTAATGCCATGTCTCTGGTGCCTAAGATAGACGAGGTTCGTATTGTCGCTGGTAGTGTAAACCCAGATTTAATTTCTGTAACTGAAACATGGTTACAAGAACACGTTCATTCTAATATTGTTGAATTAAACGGTTACAACATTGTCCGGAAAGACAGACAAGGGGCCACACATGGAGGCATCTGCTTGTATATTAGAGACGCTATTTAGTTCTCTGTGCTGGGAACTCTGTCAAATTCACTTTTTGAAGTCTTGTGGATCAGAATGTGTCCAAGTAGATTACCGAGGGGCGCTAATTCAGTTATAGTGGGAGCCGTTTATCACCCACCGAGTGCGAACAACTCCGAAATGTTGAACTATTTAACAGAAACTCTATCAATTATCGATCAGGCGAACTAAATGTTAGAACATTAACAACCTTGTTCTGTCCTCGTTTTTTTAAGTTTCACTACAAGGTAACATGGTCAGAGAGGCCAAACGGGGACATCTTTATTGTTTTTTCATGGAACTTGTCTAAGTAGTCAGCACTAAATCGAGTCAGAGTATTTTGACCATTGGTGGGAAAGTTGACAATTTGTTTTAGGTTAAAATTGGTATTTTAAATCAATTATAAAGTCGAGAGATATGCGACCATAAAATCGAGAGATATGCGACCATGCAATGAGATCCTATGTGGAACAAATAAACGTTTCAAATTTAATTAATTCGATGCAATCATGTGATGATAAAGTTTCGATCTGGTGGAGAGAAGTCGAGAAATTGAGTGGAATGAACTCAGCTTTCAACTCCAAAAATGAGGTGTATAAGTTGCCGGAAAATCTAAATGAGACAGCTAGTGTCACTACCAAACATCTTGCTAATATTAGTCAATGGAATCTTTCTCCCACGAATGACTTTTTCGCTTGTACTGATTTCGGTGACAGAGCAGGAGGTTGTTTTGAAATTGTCAAAAGTGAATCCAGCCAAGGCCAATGGTCCGGATGGGATACGCAGCTGGGTTCTGAAGGAAAATGCTGATCTACTGGACGATCTTGTAAAATAGTATAGGACCTGTATATGAGTTTGTATGCATTTCATTTAGCACAGGTAATCTCAACTGTTTTAGGGTAAAATGACCATGGCGGTCAACATGGCATATGTGCCAAAACCTGAATCCGGGACGAAAGTCCTGAAAATGACCCCGCCCTGAAACGGCAGTGTCGACATAGCTCTAACTTCCGAAAACAAAAAGCGATAGTCTTTCTGAAGTGCTTATAATGTTTAGAAGGATTGTTTTTAAGGGTGGTCATTGGAAGGAAAAACTTGTCTAAGTATAATATTTTACAAGAAAATGACGATGCACCACCCCAGGTAAATTGCTAATTATGCATAAAATAACTAATATGCCTGGCAGAAATGAAATATTCTTTAAAATACTCATTAATAATTCATAAACCTTGTGGCAAATCATGTCAGTCATAATATGTCACGTGGAGTGACTTTGTATCTGATAAAACACATGTGGCATTATATAATTGTTCATCACCTAATTAGCATGATTATATTAATGGTTCATCCTAATTAGTATTCTTTTGTAGTCGTATATCTGATAAAACACTCCTACTCGTGTTTTAAATAGTACTTATTTCCTAAAAAAATTATCATGTGGTGAAAAACTATGCTTAATTTAATATAAATATTGCTGATTTTATAAGGATTGTCATTGTTTTCTTTAAATATAAAACATTTTATTTCACTTACCCTCCACGAAAACACGATTTCAGCCATATTTTGCCGTCTTGTTTGCTTTTTATCGCCGAATCTGGCAAATATCATCCAGTTATTGTACTTTTATACATAATCATAAATGGCTGAAGAAGATTTCAGAGAAGGTTTCATCAAGTTTTGAAACAGTGCAGTGTATTTTATCTTCGACATTGTGTCATTCGATATTTCGTCAAATTTCCACCATTTTAATGGCTCGCCGCTTCTCTGCCAGATAAATGCCATTTCTTCGTTTTCATATGTATTTAGATTACATTATCCAAAAGTACTTCATTATAGAATAGTCCCAATCAAAAAATTTAAAACATTATTTGTACTTGGGAGGAAAAAACCTCCCATAATAGTTGTCCTGTTAGAATTCAAAAGAAGTAATTTAAAAGTCACGCGCAAGTTCGCGAAAACACCTCGTGGGCTACATAACAGGAGGGTGAATATTTTCACGAAACGTTTGTTCGCCAGCACAGGCCACAGCAACCTAACTAAGTACATTATATTTATTGTATTTTTGTGATTTATGGTAAAAACAATAACTATTTGCGTATTCATCAATTATAAAAATACAAAAAATATAATATATTTAGTTAGGTTGCTGTGGTGGCGAACGAACGTTTCGTGAAAATATTCACCCCCCTGTCAAGTAGCCCACGAGGTGTTTTCGCGAACTTGCGCGTGACTTTTAAATTACTTCTTTTGAATTCTGACAGGACAACTATTATGGGAGGTTGTTTCCTCCCAAGTACAAATAATGTTTTCAATTTTTGGATTGGGACTATTCTGCAATGAAGTACTCTTGGATAACGTAATCTAAATACATATGAAAACGAAATAGTGGCATTTATCGGGCAGAGAAGCGGCGAGCCATTAAAATGGCGGCAATTTGACGAAATATTGAAGGACACAATATCGTAGATAAAATACACTGCACTGTTTCAAAACTTGATGAAACCTTCTTTAAAATCTTCTTCAGCCATTTATGATTATGTAAAAGTACAACAACTGGATGATATTTGCCAGATTCGGCGATAAAAAGCAAACAAGACGGCAAATATGGCTGAAATCGTGTTTTCGTGGGGGGTAAGAGAAATAAAATGTATTATATTTAAAGAAAATAATGACAATCCTTATGAAATCAACAATATTTATATTAAATTAAGCATAGTTTTTCACCCCATGATATTTTTTTTTAGGAAATAAGAATATTTTATTTCTGCCAGGCATATTAGTTATTTTATGCATAATTAGCAATTTACCGGGGGTGGTGCATGGTCATTTTCTTGTAAAATATTATACTTAGACAGATTTTTTCTTCCAATGACCACCCCTAAAAGCAACCCTTCTAAACACTATAAGCACTTCAGAAAGACTATCGCTTTTTGTTTTCGGAAGTTAGAGCTATGTCGACACTGCCGTTTCAGGGCGGGGTCATTTTCAGGACTTTCGTCCCGGATTCAGGTTTTGGCACATATGCCATGTTGACCGCCATGGTCATTTTACCCTAAAACAATTGAGTTTACCTGTGCTAAATGAAACGCATACAAACTCATATACACGCGCGTCCTAGACTAAAAGAGATTTTGAATCTTTCGTATAGAGAGAACTATCTTCCGCAGTCGTGGAAAGAAGCGGATAAATTATTGTCCCTTTTCCAAAGCAGAAACCTGTAAAAGACGTGAATATGCACCTACGCCCCATTTCATTAACATCAGTTGTATCGAAGGTGGCGAAGGATTTCGTTGTCGAAAGTTTGGTTAAACTTGCTGTCCTTAGAAAGATTGACAGAAATCAATTTGGAACAATTCCCAAATCATCAACAACTCATGTACTAATAAGCATGATCACACATAAGTGGAAAAAACAAACGGACGGAAGCGGTTCTATGGTGCAGGTCGTTCTTTTTTATTTCAAAAAAGCATTTGACTTAATTGATCATGGTATTCTGGTAGGAAAGCTTACTTTTTTTCGAAATACCAAAGCGAATCATTGGGTGGACGTCAGTTTTCTCAAAGACCGTAAGCAGCGCGTCAAGTTAAGACAGGATTGTTATTCTGAATGGGGTTTGGTTCCGGCAGGCGTGCCCCAAAGGACTAAATTGGGTCCTTGGCTTTTTGCTATAACGAGTTTACAATGAAATCAACTGTAAATAAATTTCAGTTAAAGGAAGAGAAATGCAAAGAGCTTCAAATTACCTTTGCAAGACATGTGCCTACGTTTACACGCGTGTATGTTAATAATAGGCCGATTGAAGTTGTTCCTTCTGCAAAAATATTGGGCATGCGACTTACGAACGATCTTAAATGGAATAGCCATATTTCAGAGATAGTGAAGAAAGTTTGTCAACTAAAATAAAAAAATTTGTGTAGCCTGCGAGCAGGCTCTCTGCTCGCAGGCTAAAATTTGTGCAAAGGATATACTAACAATTTAGCTGACCTGTGTGTGTCCTATAATGGAATGTGCTTGTCGAGCCCTTCATATCATTTTCCCAACGTTACCTTATGCAGAAGTTTTGGTAGAAGCGGGAGTTGACTCATTATTTAATTAAAGACAAATTTTAACTACTAAACTATTTAATGTCATTGCAAATGACGAAAGTAACAAGCTTTATCAATTACTACCAAGTAAGAACTTTTCAAATTATAATATGAGGAAAGATAACATTTTTGACGTTTCTATTAGTAGAGCGAATGGATTTAAAAATAGTTTTATACAACATACAACCGACCATACAACGGCGTAACAACGACCATATAAATATGACCATAACATAGACGTTGACAACCATGTTAACTTGGGTTTAGCAACTGCTAAGTTCTGTTTAAAATATGTCGCTATTCATTATTTCTGCTTGGAATTCGCCTCGAAAAAGTTGTATCAGTTCCGGCTACTTTTTTACTGTTTGCGCGAACAAATTCGCCTAGTGGGAAATGGGCTTTGCAAGTGGGAAGTTGACAACACTGAGGTGGCGAACGAATAAATCATTATGACGTCATTCATGCGCATCATTTTTCTGAATATTAATTAGTAATTACCTCACCATCATTTACTGAATATTTAATTACCTCACCCTGAATATTAATTACCTCGCCCTAAAAAAATGCCCGAACGGTACCTACATTACTACTACCGCGGGCCTCCGTATGCATGATTATATTTCCCACTACACATTTCAAAGATTTCATAGGTAACTTAGGGAACTACAGTTGCGTCTAAACTTGATATGACACCAATATGGTTTTACTTATCTAATGTATATTTAAATTTTAAAACCATGAATTAGATGTGTTTCTAAAGTTATGCCTACATTCTCATGGTGCCAGACACAGTTTTGTAGTCCTAGGTGGGTCTAGTCCTCCCGCAAGCGAATACCAGGTTAGTGCATCCATAGCTTTAAAAAATATTCCTGTTTTAAAATGTACTCTATCCGTGGCTAGAGGAGTTGCCATACTCATTGGGTAGCAGTCTAACACATCAATCTCCGATTTGCACATTTCTGATAAGGCATAGGCGTCAAAAAGGAGTACACGCTGAAAGAAAATACGTATCAATACTTTAGATTTCGGCTTGTCTGTGTACTTGTCATTTTCTCAGTCGGCCTAGATTTTAACTTGTTCTGCGTATAATGGTAATTGAAATGAGTGGAGTGCAATTTGGACTGAAATCCGAAACGCATGATTACAGAATCGCAAGACGTACCGCGGAACGGGAGTGCGATTTGTAATCACAAGTTTGATTTCAGTCCACAATTGGGCTCCACAATTGGCGCTTTAAATTTGCTTTTTTTTTTTAATTTTGACCATGTTTGATAGAAGATTATGTTCTTAATTTGCCTGTTAACTATTTGTGAAATTTCAAAAAAATAGAAAACTCTTTGCAGTTTTTGATATGATAGTTTACTGTAGCTATCCATATTTATTGCCTGTTTTATGTGCAAAAAATTGCTTAGGCAGTCAAGAATAAGACATATGTATCTACATTTTTTGTTTATGCCCATTTGCCAAATCACATTTTTCTTAAAATCGATTGGCTGTTTGCATCCTATGATTAAATATGATTGGTTGACTGAAGTCAGCACTCTATAATGTGATTGGTTAAAAGAAGGTGCGATTTCAGCACGAATCGCACTGCTATAGGAGTGCGATTTGAGCTGAAGTCGCACTCCTGTGAACCAATCAGATTGCAGGAAACACCACTAATTTCAAAATGAATATAATAAATGCGGATATATTTTCTTTGTCAGACATCGCACTCGGAAATTGAAAGCTGGTGTAAATAGAGTCAAAAATGACTTGTCACGTAGAATACACGCGGTTTTCTCATTGTGGCATATTTGAAGTTGAAATATGATATATACACTCACATCACTCGTCAGATATTTCGAGGTCCATGCTCGATTGAAAATTCCTCTGTAGTTCAAAGCTGTTGTAGTCCTCCAGACCACTCTTGCTTTGCTTCCTAATAATTTCTTTCTGTTTTTCAGCAAGTGCGTGAGGTTTCCAACGAAATCTTTAAACTGAGCAAAAGGCAACATTCTTGCAAGGTGCATGTTGAAATTAAGGACACATAAGCTATTTGAGCTTTCCATTCCCGGTTGAAGAAACACTTCCCTGAGTGCGTCGAGTAGTATTTTTGGTTTAAATTCCACGGTTGCATTTCCATATTTTTCTAGTTCGTTGTATTCAGTTGTTTCACATTTCTCCATTCCATGAGGGTGCAGTTCACTTTTCCATGGATACAGGTGAAAATAATCCAACTTGCAACTATTAATTTGAAGACAGAATAACGAGTATCTTAGCAAGTCAAATACTCAAACACATTGGTAATTACTGTATATAGACGCTATCTTCTCAGGGGCGTCAAACGGAATCAAGCAGCTCAGCCGAACCCAAGTAATAGTAATTACGTACTTATTTCGCGAGTTTATGAACGAATTATCAGTCAAAACACGCGCCAAGGTACCAATATATATGTAACACATGCATGGAGATACCTATATGTCACGATTACGTGTTTGCACTTTTATTTGGAATGTATGATGTTCTGCAAGGTCATTCATAGGCTTGATTACAGCTCCCCCCGAATACCAGCTGGTGATCGAGCTTAGGTCATTCACGGGTGATATTTTATATTATCGAAAATTTCTAACCCCCAAAATCAGACTCCGAAATGCGATGAATCTCGATCAAAATAGCTTTACGAAGAAGCTCAATACGTTTAGTTAAAGTAAACGTTTTAACATGCAAAGTGCAAAAACGAATTTTTAGCCTAGCTATGTAAGCCTAGTTATATTAGCCTACAATTATTGAGACATCCTATTCGCCCCCCACTTCCCCCGCAAAACAATGTTGTTTTCATGATACCAAACCACAGTGTTAGCTGAAAACATTCACCCAACATTGTCAATGGGGAGAGGGGGGAAATAGTAAGAAAACTGATCGAATTATATAAGTGTAGATGTGTCAAAATGCCAAAAAATGTTTGAAATAAGTCTCATTATTTTTGCACGTGATTGTCTAGCTTATAACAAAGTGAGCTACATTCAATAGATTTTGTCAAAAAGCTATCAATAGCACATAAAGTGATTAATCGCTATAATGTCGGTCTAAACGTTTTAATTCGCGAAAATACCGGGCAAGCGTGAAAAAATATATGCCTGGCCACGGTGGGAATCGAACCTACGACCTTTGGACCTGACCGCGTAGCTCAGTTGGCAGAGTATTCCAAAGGTCGTAGGTTGGATTCCCACCGTGGCCAGGCATATTTTTCAAGCTTCCCCGGTGTGGATATACACTCAGAGTAACATCACAAACATAATATTCACCTGAGTACACAACACCAACACAGAAAAAGTCATATTACTAGATTGTATTGATATCGAAGGAACTAGACTCAGTTCCGAAATATCACATACTCGAACCGACCTGACCGCGTAGCCGAGTTGGCAGAGCATTGGGCTAGTATTCGAAAGGTCGTAGGTTCGATTCCCACCGTGGCGCCAGGCATATTTTTTAAGCTTGCCCGATGTGGTTATACACTCAGAGTAGCATCATAAACATAATATTCACCTGAGAAAACAACACCAACACAGAAAAAATCATATGTCCATTGTTAGCATAATATGAAATAATCCTACCAGCCTACATTCATAATATTCACCTCATGGCTGTATCACTACATTTCAGGGTATACTATATTTGTAAAGCCCAAATTATAATTTATAATTACCGAGTCAGTCGATGTACGCAGGCTCAAGACTAAATGCTATAAAGGGGCGAATTTCGGCCTGTTTAGTTTATATGTGTCAGAACAGAAGGCTGTTGAGAGATATTATTTACAGTATGTAACAACTAGAGCGATTCCCTCATTGTGAGGTAAGATATTCGTATGTATTTAGTATTGTTGTGAAGTCGACTTATAGGTAGGATTCATTCTTTTATATAACTTATTATTTAGAAAACCGACAAACAAACGTTATTAATTAATTAAAGTAAAGAAAATCGATCTGTCGTGTCTATCTCGTAACGGGGAATTCGAATACGCAGCACTTTGGTCGCTACAATATTTGTCGGTAATGCTCAAATTTATTTCTTATTATATAGTTTTGCAGTTCTGACTGAGTACAATCTTAATCATTACAGTGAATGGTGTTATCTGATTATCTGAAGCTGACATATTGAACATAAATGTCAACAAATAGTTTTTGTTCCCCATCAGATAGATTGTTCGGTTGTTCTACGATAGGGGTAGCCTTAAAGGTGCAACAAAAACTGACTTAGTATTTTTATATTTGATACTATACAGTATTCAGTGGCAAGCTAGCCATGGCAACTGGTCATGCTATGCTAATAACCTGCATCATTTGAATAATAGAAATCACTATGATTAAAAACTTTCATAGCATGTCCTGTTTCTATGGCTAGCTTTGCCACAGACAGTATTATAATGATACATACAAAAGCAAGAAATAATTATAAGAATTGATGGTATTCATATAAAGCCGCCCATGCCAAGAAAGTGGAATTAGATTATTTAGCTGAGCTTCGACTTTGTGCAAGGTGTTTGGTATTCAAATTATTAGAGATTCCCAGCAGCCTTTCGCGCTCGTATTCGACTTTTCCGCTTCGCTCTGGGGACAACCTTATTTGAAATAGCTGTATACGTTGAAAAGGACTTTTCTCACTTGCAGCGCGCCAAATATACCGGTGGATTTTTTGACCGGGGTGTGATTGGGGGTGTGTCATTGTTCTAGCCACTGAGCTATACTATATTACTGGAGGACCTGCTCGGGAAAAAAAGTGAAGCCAAAAACATGGCGGATTTCGGCCTTTGCTGACGCCATTTCCATGACACTGGTCCGTATTTCTCATGGTAATTACCACTGACCAGGCTGGGATCTGAGCCCGCTACAATTTCCACACACCCCTGGTTTTTTTAAAAAACTTTTGGTTTTTGAAATTTTGCTTGGGTTTTGTAGTATTTTCTCAATGATTTGAATCGATTTTTAAAATATTTTCGAGATGGTTTTTCTAAATTTGGTTATTGGTTCAAAGATGTGCAAGTCGTACGTGTTATTCTTCCCGGGAAAGAAAACAAAACCAAAATCCAAACCTCGCACTGATGAGCAAAGAGGATATTTGAATCAGCGAGCTAAATAAAACAGGTATTTCATTCAATTTTATTTATGCTTTATCTTATCTAAACGACGAAATGCACTCTTTTTGTTAAGAAAACAGCCTTTTGCTGCGTTTTTTGGTGTAATTTGGCATCTGTATATTTCATAACCTGAGTATCAGGCCCTCGGTATTGAAGAGAGCCTGACACAATTCGCCTCTACGGGCTTTCCACCCCCAGAATATCAGCCAATTAAAATTATTTCCGGTTGTAGCATATTTCCGGTTGTCCGCTACAGGCACAGAATAGGAAGTTATACCAGAAGCGTAACTCTAGTCGTTTCCCTTATTGTTTGACGTCCACGAAAATTTTAACTCGCTCACGTCAGGCCACGCCATCCTGGCTAGTACAGCCGGAAGTTTTTATCAGGATTTGGTAGGTACAAAGTGCCGGTTGTACTAGCCAGATGGCGTGATTGATGACGAATCGCTTGTACAAACGCGGACAAATATTTGCTCGAGTTACGCTTCTGGTATAACTTCCTATTCTGTGCTACAGGTATGTAAATACGCAAATTTCGTTATTTGCAGTTTTGTATAAATTTGAATAAATACGGAGAAAAATCGGTATGTTTTTGTCGAAATATCGACATGATGGAATTCTAAGCGTAAACTATGCCTCATTTGGGGAACCATAGCTCGATGGCTTTTTCCAGGCGTCTAACGAGACAACATTCGGCGCTCTGAATAGGATTTCTTCTTCCTCGGTCCTCGTGTCTTGTTAATAGTTTATTCGAGACAGCTATTCGCTTCAACTGCGTCTGACACAGCGGCTATTATCTTCAATTTCTGCCTGATGTTGGCATATTAGTTCGAGCGAGCTGACTACTATATCCTTGCAGGTCTTGGAAAACAGCTCGGCAACAAACTGATAAATAAGGCTTCAGCTTTCTGGAACTAAATATTTGAAAATTTCCGACATCCACATATTTTCGTTCTACGGCGACTATTACGGCGAGATATTTAGACACGCTTTCTACTATGACTATGTAGTTTTAGTTTTATACCGAGTAAAATGTTGCTGCAAAAGCGTTTTCAACGTCTTTTCGTACTTATTTTGTCATTTTTAGGCTTAATTAATTGAAAATAAATTTCAGAGATAAAGCACTTTTAACAGTATATTTACAAAATTACAAATTCTATTTTTGGTGTTTACATACGCCGGTCATATATTTCCGGTTTGCAAGATTTAATTATAAATGCACAAGATATACTGTACTGTAAACATGCATCTACTTGAAGAATGTAAAATGAACAGTGATGAGTGATGTAATATAATTCTGCACTTTAATATTTGGAAAACCTTTTTGGCAAATCTTGAGAATAATGGCTTTGGGAATCAATGTTGAAAATTAAAAACTGTCAGATAGCTGCATGGACAGCATGGTTAGAAGCATACATGTCATCAGATGAAACTCCAACTTTTGTTAATTGCCGATGTTCTAGTATTGGAATGAACAGTGTTATAAGAACCAATGGTGCTGAACTATTTTGGGTTTATTATAAAATATTGTTTATCATTTAGTTCTGGCCATTAACCTTACCTATTAAGTTACACATTGTGTCTTACTTTTTATTTTACTCTGGTGTGCACCCCCCCCCCCCAGGCTCTGGTCAACAGGGGTGCATGTGGGGGGGGGTGCAAAAATGATGTTTATCCCAATTCTAACCAACTTATGTTAAGGAATTCAGTTGGGTATCACTAGTTGACAATAGTGGAATAGCCAATATTAAATATTCTGAATTTTTTAAATGTTTTGAGAATCTAAAAATTTTCCAAAATGTTTTCTCAGAATGCTGGAAATGCCATTTCAGAGACCCAAATTTTAAAAATTTTCTGTGGTACTATGCCCGGCCCGGACCACCCTAGAAATCTCGTGCCTTCGGTGCTCGTTTCGCCATTGGTTAGCACCCCCCAAAAAAACTTTGCTGGATTCACCACTGCACCAGATGATTTTATATGTTGGGATAGATCATTGGTGTTCAATGGATTATCTCATAATACACAGTAGTTTGTTAACCTACTCTAACACCATCATTGGCAATGGAATTGAGCAGTGACGTAGCCAGAATTTCTAATTAAGGCCTTCAAGGGGGACTGAAATCCCCAGGAGGGGCCTGCACTAGTTTGAATAAAGTTTGTTAGTATGTAAAAATATATTTGGACTCCCAAGCTATCCATGTATAATATAGTACAATGTAAACTTTTTAAATTCTAGTTAATAAAGTGCCATTTTGGGGGGCTATTTTAATGTGTTTTGGTGATTTGAAATAGCCTTGCAGTTAACACATGTTCAACTCTAATTAATTACAAACAAGTTCAGAACATTTAAAATATTTTGACCCCCCCCCTCTGGTTACACCACTGGAATTGACTTGAGCCTTTTAGACCTCTGAATTTTAGTTGCAACTTAGAACAGTGTTCTGACATACAAGAAAATTGTAAGAAAATTTAAAATTTGTGCAAAAGCATTTCTCAAATAGGTCGTTCCAGAAAATATCCACATTCCCCCCACAGAGGAAATTTCTGCCGTTCAGAGGGGGAGAGGGAAAAAATTGTTTCTGATAATAATAAATGTATTAGGACATCCAAAGGGGTATGAGGGATTAACTTTCAATTTCCTCTGTGGGAGTGGTATGGGTGTTTTCTGGAATGA